ACTTAATGACTGAGCCACCCAGGCGCCCTCATTTCATGACCTCTTAAACATTACAACTTGCAGGGCGCCTGGGTGGCTCAGTCGTTAAGCGTCTGCCTTCGGCTCGGGTCATGATCCCAGGGTCCTGGGATCAAGTCCCGCATTGGGCTCCCTGCTCGGCAGGAAGTCTGTTTCTCCCTCTCCCACTGCCCCTGCTTGTGTTCCCTCTCTCGCTGTGTCTCTCTCTGTCAAATAAATAAAATCTTTAAAAAACAAAACAAAACAAAAAAACATTACAACTTGCAGTATGAAAACCACTCTTCCATAGACCTACCCACTTGGTCATTGAATGCAGTTGACTAGCAATTACTGTGCATTTTTGTGTAAAGGTTATGGAGAAACACCTTTTTAAAAAATATTATGATTCTAGGGCGCCTGGGTGGCTCAGTTGGTTAAGCGACTGCCTTCGGCTCAGGTCATGATCCTGGAGTCCCGGGATCAAGTCCCACATCGGGCTCCCTGCTCAGCGGGGAGTCTGCTTCTCCCTCTGACCCTCTTCCCTCTCGTGCTTTCTATCTCCCATTCTCTCTCTCTCAAATAAATAAATAAAATCTTTAAAAAATATATATATCATGATTCTAAAAACTGGTTCATAAAACTGAAGCTTTAGGGGAATTTCTTTACATTTTCTCCTCTGTTAAACTGAGCCTTGAGATGACAGGGGCTGTTTATTCATTTATCATTGTGTTGCCAATACTTAACACAGTGCTTTGCTCATGGTGGATACTTAATAAATAATGAGTGAATGAATGGTTTGATGAATGTTAGTACAGTACTCTTGTTTGAATCATTTTTTTGAAATACTGCAAGGTATTTCTAAGATAATTCTTGTTTATAATGAATTTAGAGAGAAATAAATTTGTGAAGAAAAAAAAAGACTACTGTGAGCAATTATATGCCAACAAACTGGACAACTGAAAAAGAATGAATAAATTCCTAAAAACTTGCAATCTTCCAAGACTGAATCATAAAGAAATAGAAAATCTGAATAGACCAGTGAAGAAAAAATAAATAAAAAATAAAAGTGGGGGGGAAGCCCCCCCACAAACAGAAATCCAAGACCAGACGGCTTCACCAGTAAATTCTACCAAACATTCAAAGATTTAATACCTACCCTTTCAAACTCTTCCAAAAAATTGAAGAGGAGGGACTGCTTCCAAACTCATTTTACAAGGCCAGCATTACCCTGATACCAAAACCAGATAAGGACACAACAAAAAAAAAAAGAATGAAGGAAAATTATAGGCCAATATCCCTGATGAACATAGATGCAAAATCCTCAACTATTAGCAAGTGGAGTTCAACAACACATTAGAAGTATCATATACCATAATCCAGTGGGCTTTATTCCAGGGATGCAAGGGTAATTCAACATCTACAAATCAGTCAATGTGATACACAATATTAACAAAATAAAAGATAACAATCATGATCATTTCAATAGATGCAGAAAAGCATTTGACAAAATTCAACATCCATTTATGGTAAAAACAAAACAAAACCCTCAACAAAGTGGGTACAGAAGGTACATATCTTAATATAATAAAAACCATATATGACAAACCCATTGGATAAAAGCTGAAAATACTCAATGGATAAAAACTGAAAGCCTTTCCTCTAAAATCAGGAACAAGACAAAGATGCCCACTCTCACCACTTTTATGCAGCAGAGTCCTGGAAATGCTAGCCACAGCAATTACACAAGAAAAAGAAATAAAAGGCATATAAATTGGAAAGGAAGAAGTAAAATTGTCACTGTTTGCAGATGACATGACACTATATATAGAAAACCCTAAAGACTCTACCAAAAAAACTTTTAGAATTAGTAAATGAATTCAGGAAAGTTGTAGGATACAAAATCAATGTACAAAAATTGTTGCATTTCTATACACTAATAACTATCAGAAAGAGAAATCAAGAACACAGTCCCATCTATAATTGCATAATACACACACACACACACCTAGGAATACATTTAATGAAGGAGGTAAAAGACCTTATTAAACTATAAGATATTGATGAAAGAAATTAAAGAAGACACAAACAAATGGAAAGATATTCCATGCTCTTGGATTGGAAGAATTAATATTGTTAAAATATCCGTCTGCCCAAAGCAGTCTACAGATTCAATGCAAACCCCATCAAAATTCCAGTGGTGGGTGCCTGGGTGGCTCAGTCGTTAAGCATCTGCCTTCGGCTCAGGTCGTGATCCCAGGACCAAGTCCCACATCAGGCTCCCTGCTCAGCGGGAAGCCTGCTTCTCCCTCTCCCATGCCCCTTGCTTGTGTTCCTGCTCTCGCTGTGTCTCTCTCTGTAAAATAAATAAATAAAATCTTTTAAAAAAAAAATTCTGATGGTATTTTTAACAGAACTAGAACATGTATTCTAAAATTTATAGGGAACAACCAAAGACCCCAAACAGCCAGAACAGTCTTGAGAAAGAAGAACAAAGCCAGAGGTATTATGTCCCTTGACTTCAAACTATACTACAAAGCTATGGTAATCAAAACAGTATGGCACTGGCACAAAAACAGACATACAGATCAGTGGGACAGAACAGAGAGCCCAGAAATAAACCCATGTATATGTATATGGTCAATTAATTTTTGACAAAGGAGGCAAGAATATACAATGAGGAATGGATAGTCTCTTCAATAAATGATATTGGGAAAACAAGACAGCTACATGCAAAAGAATGAAACTGGACCACTTTCTTACGCCATATACAAAAATTAACTCAAAATGAATTAAAGACCTGAATGTAAGACCTGAAACTATAAAACTTCTAAAAGAAAACACAGATGGTAAGCTCCTTGACATCAGTCTTAGTGATGTTTTTGTGAATCTGACTCCAAAGGCAAGGGAAATAAAGCAAAAGTAAACAACTGGGACTAAGTCAAACTAAAAAGCTTCTGCGCAGTGAAGGAAACCATCAGCAAAATGAAAACAGAACCTACTGAATGGGAGAAGATATTTGCATATGATTTATATATCCAATAAGGGGTTAATATCCAAAAAAAATATAAAGAACTCATACAACTCATCAAAAACAAAGAAATCTGATTAAAAAATGGGCAGAGGGAAAAAAAGGGGCAGAGGATCTGAATAAACATTTTCCCAAAGTAGACATACAGGTGGCCAACAGGTACCTGAAAAGATGCTCAACATCACTAATCATCAGGGAAATGCAAATCAAAGCCACAATGAGTTATCACCTAACACCAGTCAGAATGTCTAGTATCAAAAAGACAAGAAATAAGTGTTGGTGAGGATGTGGGAGAAGGAGAACTCTCATGCCCTGTTGGTGGGAAGGTAAACCTGTGCAGCCACTATGGAAAACATGGAGGTTCCCACAAAATTAAAAATAGAACTACCACATGATCTAGCAATTTCACTGCTGAGTATCTATCCAAAGAAAATGGAAACACTAATTTGAAAAGATACAGTGCACCACTATGTTCACTGCAGCATTATTTACAATAGCCACGATATGGAAACAACCTAAACATGTCCTTCAATGGATGAATAATGGTGTGTGTGTGTGTGTGTGTGTGTGTGTACACATGCATGCATTGTGTTATATTACGTGTTTTATATATATAATGTGTTTTTATATATATATAATGTGTTATATATATAATGTGTTTTATACACACACACACACACACACACACGGGAATATTACTCAGCCATGAAAAAGAATGTAATGTTGCCATTTGAGACAACACAGAACTCGAGCGTATTATCCGAAGAGAAATAAGTCAGAGAGACAAATACCACCTCATTTCACTTAATATGTGGAGTCTAAAAAACAAGCAAAACAAAACCAAACATACTCATACAGAGAACAGACTGGCAGTTGGTGGAGGGGAGGGGGGTTAAGGTGGTGCGAAATGGGTAAAGGGGATCAAGAAGTACAGACTCCCAGTTATAAGATGAATAAGTCATGGGGATTAATGTATAGCATGTGGAATATAGTCAATAAGATTATATTAACTTTGTAGGGTGACAGATGGTAACTAGACTTAGTGTGGTGATCATTTCACAATGGATACAAATGTTGTACACCTGAGACTAGTATAATATTGTATGTCAATTATACCTCAATAGAAAAAAAAATAAGAAAGGAAGACGCCCCTTGGAAGTTGAGGGTTTAATTATGGAGAATGCTTATTAGTCCACATTGGAAGAGCTAGGGCCTCCCCGTGGTTAGGTCTGAAGGTGAAACATTCCCAGAGAATCAGGATCCTTCCAGGGTATTTGCTGCTTAGAGAAAACTATTAGCCCCCTCCAGGTGAGTCAACAGACAGGGAAGGTGAGGACCAAGACCAGCAGCAAAAGTATCTTGTCAACTGAAATTCGCATCCATCCACCAGTGTCTGACTCAGCTGGCCCTCTTGACATACCCAACAGGCCAAGAGTTCAGAAAGCAGCCTGTTTATGGGAAATTTGGAGACAAGATAAAGTGTCTGTGATAAAATAACCTTGAAAATCCCCAGCATTATAGAAATTTGGTTTCATACTGAGAGAGTAGGGTCTTGTGTTTGGTAATCCTTTGCTCTTTGTTCTGCTGCTGAGATTTCTCTTCCTCCCTGCTCACACCCTCTGATTTCTAGATGCACCTTTGGGTCTAGGGGGCCACTCCCATGTTGAGGTTCCCTTTCAACAGCAGGCCCCCAAAATATCTTGGCTTGGAACCACAAACACATCTTTATCAAAGGTCATGTTAAGTCTGGGAAAGAAAATTCCTGCCTGGTAGAGAAGTACGGCAAATGAAAATAGAAGCTGACCTTCCAGGCTGCAAGTGGCAAGTGTATGTGGGTGCTGACAGGCAAGAGTGGGCCCTCCCTCGGGAGGGGGAGGGGGACACACGTCCTCCATGTCTGGCAGGACTCCGGTCTGGATGGGAGCTTGTCAACATCCCCTGTAACGTTGACTTTGGGCCTTGTCATTTGATTTAGGTGGAAGACTACCTGTTTGAAAAAGCAGAGGTCAACTTTTGGGCTGAGACCCTAATCTTTGTGAAATACCTCTCTGAGCACCTCTTCCAGCTCCTCTCCAAGTCCAGCTGCAAAGCCCTCAGCCCCCAAAGCCTCCACCATCTTCACAGAACAGCGTCAGAGCAGGACCACCTCCTCTCCCAGCTCTTCAGAGAGCTGCCACCAGCTGCTGAATTTTTGAAGACAGTGGAATTCACGAGACTGCGCATTCAGGAGGAGAGGACTTCGGCTTGCCTGAGGCTGCTGGCCCTTTTGACAGGAAAGGAAAGGGAAGACACCCCCATTCTCGGTGCTTCCGACTCTCCTGCAGAAGCGAATCAGTTCACTCTTGTAAGAAAAGAAACGGCTTGTTGAAGAAAGAAGACTTTTCGGGGTGGGGTGGGGATGGACTCTTCCCCCATTCCCATCTGCAGGGAGCGTGTTGAACATAAATTCAAATATCGTCTTCCCTTTGTGAGTCTAGTCTTCTGTCCCTTCCTACAGAGGAATTTTTCTTCAGTTCACCCATTCAGGGCAGCCTGGTTTATTGCAGCTACTGTAGGAAGTGAGGCTACCACATTGAATATTGACTCTGTTCCCAGGTGCAGGCCACCTGCAGACCTGAATTCGCCTTTTTCTTCCTCCACAACCTCCAACGTCCGGCCATAGCCAGCCAGCATTTTCTGTGAACTGACTGTACAAAACTGGATTGTAACACATGATTTTCTCTTTTTTCCACTGGAAAGAAGAGCTGGATTAGTTGGCAAACAGCCCACTGGATCAGAATTCCAAATTTTATTCCATTTTAGCTAAAGCAAAAGTAGGTTCCGAATGTTGGATCCCGGGAGAATTAGAGATCAACTGCATAGAAATAGTTTTGTTTCCACTGTCTACGTGTGCGAGCCTGTGACGACCTGCACATGCCATCCGAATTATTAAAAGAGCTCCTAGCCACCAAAAGTGTTTGGGCTAATGCTAGGAAACCTGATTTTGCCACCCACTGAAAGCATAGACCCTTGGCTGTTAGAAGGAAGCCCGGAGAAGGGAAAGCCAGAATAAATGATTTATTCGATTCCTACAATGTTTTACTGTCATTTTCTTGGTGGCAATAACAAGATTCTCATTTAAGATATCAGAAAACACATTTATTCACTTCAGTGTTTGAATCTAGACACCCGACGGGTTTCCTGCCTTTTCGAAGCCCGGCCCAGCCCTCTTCCTCTGATACCCAGCAGGCGTCGCTCTTGCACACATTTTGCTGCTGGCCCTGCCTTTCCTTGGCTTGCCATTTTCTACTTAAAATTTCAGAATAAGCGTTACCTGCAGACAGCTATCTTGAAATTCATAGTTTGGATTGGTCATAGCCTCATCTATATTCGTTTTTCATCCTGATTATCAGAAAAAGCCATTTTGGTAGTTATATGTAAAGTTGGTCCAGTTTTTAGGGTCTGTAAATATTTTTAAATACTTCTCTGGTGAGCAGTCACTTTGGAATTATGTTAAAGGGGCAGTTTAGAGGAGAGAGGGTTTGATAAAATTTCTTACTGCAGAAAGGCTCGTGTTTCAAATTTGCTTCTCTTTTTTTTTTTAAAGATTTATTTATTTGAGAGAGAGAGTACGAGAGGGGGGAGGGTCAGAGGGAGAAGCAGGCTCCTTTGCTGAGCAGGGAGCCCGATGCGGGACTCGATCCCGGGACTCCGGGATCGTGACCTGAGCCGAAGGCAGTTGCTTAACCAACTGTGCCACCCAGGCGCCCTCAAATTTGCTTCTCTTTAAAAGAAAACCACCTACCACTAAAAACACAACCGTACTGGAAGTATAGAGAAAGGGTCCATAGGAAAAGGCAGGGAATGAAGTGAACTTACTAAAGAGAACAGGAAATTCCCTGGGTGGTTTTGCACTATTCAGCTCAAAATGTGGTGGGTTTTTGTTTTTGGTGATCCTGAATTAATTACCTGGTTGGGCATCTGTGTAGCCCACACATGATGGAAAGTTGCCAGTCTAACATTTCTTTTTGTTCTGAGAAGACCTGACTGGGTGAGAAGTCAGGGAATCATTGGCATGATGCAGTGATGACCATGGTTCAGTAACTATGAAACTGGCCTCAGCAAAGCCCAGCTCATTGGAAAAGACCAGCATTCCTTTTTTCTCCACTTAAGATGAAATAAAAGCCATTACATAACAATAAAAATACTTTCTTCCAGTGGGTACTCTGTACCAAAGCATGTCGCATAGCATATTTATTACGTTATCTCCAGGATCCTTCTACCCAGCCTACAAAGTGGGTGTTCTCATGGCTGCTGACTGGTAGTTACCCCAGATTCTGATGTTGGCTGGCTGTGGCCAGCCTGGGAGGACAGGAGGGACAGATGTTTCTCCTGGTTTTGAATCTGAAATCTTGTTACTGACCTACAATAGCAGTGGCTAAGGAAATGGCTGTTTCACACTTGCCTGATGCACTTCCAGGGGAATCTTAGAATACTGCTGTCAGGGCTACCCTCAAACTCCTGTGTTTGGGGTCATTTCAACAAAGAACAAAACAGTTGGGGTTCTTGGGTATTGCAGGCTGTGTCAGCCACCATGGTCCGGCGCTGCCTGGGGTCAGTGTAGGGCTGGGTGGTGCAATCACCGGGAGCAAAAGAGTCACCTCTCCTGAGGTCCCTGCCCTTGGCTCCAAGCCAGAGGGTCCAAGATTCGGTGCCCCTCAGGTCTGAAGGCATGATTCTGTGGATCTCTACCCATCTGGCCACAGCCCAGAGACCTGGCTGTGTCCGTTTTTATGGTTTGTCAACTTGTTTTAATAATAAGGTTTATACTTGTTCATCTTTTATACACCTTAACAGATAACTCATTTGTGCCTTGACAAAGGTGAGAGACGAGTAAAGCGGGAATTATCAGTTTTACAGGGAAACCCAAGCACCAAAGAGATCGTGATTTGCCCAGGGTCACATGGGTTGGAAGGGGCAGGGCCTGAACTCCAGCCCTGTGTTTCTGATCCTCAAGTCCTTGCAACCCTATGCGGACTCCCGCTCTTTGGGTGGATGTGTGGGGAGTTTCAGCAGGGGGAACTGCATGCAAACTGAGCTCAGGAGTCAGTTCCACGAGTGACGGGCCTGGCTTGTCCCTTCCAGGGTAACGAATGGAAATGACCACGAAAAAACAGCAAGAAATAAGATCGATTTTGGAAAGGGGCGTGGGTTGTCTCCTTCCCTAGAGGGAACTGAGCCTTCCAACTGAGGCACAATTGCAGCCTAGGCTGCCAGGTGTGCGGGATCACGGACCCGCTCCAGCTTTTTGGCATCATGTGTTTAAACGCGGAGTGATAAGTGTCCTGGACCAGACCCCAGATCTGCCCGAACCGGGGTGTCAGCCGCTTTAGCCTAACTGGGCGCTAGGGGGGGGTGTCTGCCCCATACCCGGAGGGCGCCCGTTGGCGAAGGCATTTCCCAGCGCAGGCCTTTTGGGGTGTGGGACTGGCGAGGGCGGGAGGGGGCGAGCCCACCTTGAGCGTCCTCGGTGCCCAGCCCTGCCTGGCCGCCGGCCGGCCTCAGCCACAGCCTGCGGCCCACAACGAACTAAAGCAGGGCGCGGCGCCTCCAACGGCCGGCGAAAGAAGGGGCCTGGAGGGCGCGCCGGGGGAAGGTTGCGGCGGGCGGCGATCCTCAGCCGGCAGCTGCACCCCAACCCCCGGGAGGGATGGGGAAGGCCGGGCGGATCAGCGGAAGAACGGGGTGGCGGGAAGTCGCCTCCATGCTTGCGCAGCTCTCCCGGCCTTCCCTCCCGTCCTCCCAGCCCGCTACCCCGCCCGGGATGCTCCGCGCCACTCCGCGCCTTTGGCCCTGGCTCAAGGTCTTGTGATGTGATTAGCAAAGCCAGCGCCTTGTCCTCAGACACTCAGCCCAGCCCGGCAGGCCCGAGCGCTGAAGCCCTGTTTACTGCAGCCTGGGCGGGGAGGGGGGCGGAGAAACGGGCCCAGGCTCCTCCGAGCCAGACTGCCGCGGCCGCGTGGCCACTCCCGCCCCCACCCCCACCGCGTCTCCACGTGCAGTCGGGATGGAGCCGCCACCCACCCGACGCAGGCCCTGAGCCCCCGCCCCCCGGCCGGAGCACTCTTTGCAAGCCAGCCGGACCGCGCGGACGGTTGCAATATTCTCGCATTTTGCAATTCCCGCGCCCAGTCTAGAACCGAGAGTGGGAGATTAAAGCTCCGCAATTTCTCCTAGCAGGATCGGACGGGGAGAGACACGTCCAGAGCTGCAGAACCCTGGCCGCTTTAAACGTGCAGGGGATTTCCAACAGTGCAACCCCAAAGGAAAGGAGCCTTATCTTCCCGCCGCCACCCGGCAGCACCCAACAGGAACGAACTCTCCACGCCGCCGCAGGCGCTCCGGCAGCCGGCCCCGCCCCAAGGCCTCCCGCCCCCTCCCCCGGAGGAAAAAAAAATTGGCGGCGGCCAATGGGAGGCCACGAAGGCGCTTGACGTCCGCGAGCCGGCGGGCGGCGTTGCCTGGAGACCCCGGCGGGGTCAGTGTTCTGTCCCCTCCCCCGGCACGCCCGCCCCGCCGCTGCCGCGCTCCCGGACTCTATATAGGGCGCGCGCTCGCGGGCCGCGGAGTTCCAGCAGTCCGCGAGCTGTCGTCGGCTCCGCGCGGGGGGGGGGGCGGGCCGGGCACCCCGGGGCGCGGAGGCGCGCTCTCTGCTTCTCTCTCCTTTTTCCCCCCCGCTCCGCACTCCCGGGCACCCTCAAACCAGTCCACGCTGCTTCCCTCTCCCTCTAGTCTCGTCCCCCGCCAAACTTTCGGTCCCTCCCCCGCCGGTCACCCGTTATTCGTCGTGGCTCGAGCCCGGCCGTGCCGCCCCGAGGGCTCCTCCGGACCTCCCTGCCTGCAACTCCGACCATTACAGGATCCAGAAACATGTCGACCACACTTCTGTCCGCCTTCTACGATATCGACTTCTTGTGCAAGGTACGCGGGGGAGCAAGGAGGGAGGAAGGCGGGCAGGCAGGAAGCCCCTCGAGTTTTCAGATTTTGCTTCTGTCCTCCGCTTTTGGGGCACCCCTCCCCACTCTGGCTTTGGGGTCGGGAAGAGTTCTGGAGTTTGCTGTAGTGTGTGCTCGTGCCTTGTGGGCGGGGAGAAGGAGCAGGGAGTAAGGGCAGGAGGGAGCCGCTGTCGTTGTTTCTCCCGCGCCGACCGCGGCCACGCTGCCCGGGGCTTCCCGGATGGGGTTTGCGCCGCCCAGGCTGGCGGCCCACGGGCTGAGGATCACATGTCGAAACCGAGCGCGGCCTGGGGTGGGAGTCGGCTCCTCCCAACGCGAACTTGATTCTTTTGCGCGTGTACGGGTGGAGGGTGGGGGCCGAATCGAAATCTGC